AGGGAGCTCCAAATTCCCTCTTTGAGTATCTTTACAGTTTTTGAGTTGTGCTGATTTTAAAATATATTATTGAGTTATGCCCCCATAAGTCTGTGTTCCAATTCAAAATTCAACGTGGTGGAATGTCTCGAGGGAACCACTCCCCTCGTATGCACACGCCACTATTACCTCGACGTTAAGAACTCCTCCGCTGCAGCGTCCCCGGAATGCCCAAACAGGCACCGCGACGCTCGGCGATGAATTTCAATCCTGTATTAATCTCGCAAGAAACAGTTCCATTCATTAGTGCGGGGTCAGTCCGCTCCTTAGTAAATCACACTGGCGTGGTGGCGTGTTGCGATCGCGTTAGTAATCTGGTTAGTATTGTAATTAATCCGTAATGGATGTCCCTTGACCCTGCCTTGCGTTGTGTTTAGATTTGTTACTGGGTTCGCCCGGTATATTGAATATAAAGGGCCCCTCAGGGAAAGCGTCTTAATTGTGTCTTGTGTACTTAGTACTCCAATTCGTTGAGTTGGTTTAACGTGCTATGTATTTTTGTAATTGTTAGTGAGTGTTTAATCTTAAATACGAATTCTATAACCCTTGTAATCCCTATAACCTAATTTTTTGACAATGTATATTCGGAAAACCTGGAAACCTCATGTTTCGTTTGGGACCTTGTGTTATAACATTTATGGGTGTACCTGTGTCTTAAATGAAATGTTCTCGTTTATTTTTTGGGGCTTTAAGAATAACAAATGTTATCACAAAGAGCTTGAGCTGCATTTTTTCGTAATTTATATGGTGATCCATCATTAGTTGGTTTCCATAAATAGTTATGCACCATAATAATTGTTTCCCCGTGATGAACAAATCTATCGAATCTTAATTATTTTTTGCCACAAAACTCAAAAAACCTAGTTTGTTCACCTGATGTGATGTTGGAGTTATTTTTTAGCTAGAAATGCTAAGCGGGTTGAAAATCTGTGTTTGCGCTAGTTAGCATAACACATATACTGATCGAACCCCGAAATACACAGAATATCCAACGATACAGCTAAATACTCATTACTTAGTGCTAGACGCTACACTTGTGTACTTATCACTTGTGTGGGTGTCCCACTGGCCCAGTAAGGGATGGTTCACCGCCGGCGCACCCCTCACTTTTTACCCCGTATTTATTTTTATGGAGCTGTTGCCAGCTCGTTTTTACAAGCCGAGAAGGCAATGGGGCAGTTGAAGTCCCATCATTACCAGTTTTTTCCACCAGTTTGATATATTAACGCCACCTTTTTTCACTTCATCCCCCGTCTACAATGTGTTACAAGATTCGGTACGGTTTTATTCATAAGGTAATTTTTTATAAAATCTGTTATTTTCTATTTGTCTTGCGTTGCTTTTAAGACGGGTTTTTATAATATTTCAAAGTAAAAGAAAAGTCAAACCTATTCTCCTTCTAATCAGGAAAAATGTTTTAAATTTAACTTAATGTAAACATTAAGTTTGGTTTATTCTACAGTGATTTTCTAACTGGAATCTTGGAGGAACATAAATTTTTATTTGAAGATATTTTAAGTATAAAATATTCACATGTTTGAGAACGGTTCCCAGAGCTAGCTGTTGGGAAGGTGAGGTGTCTACGTCTAGACAGACAACTGTCTAGTTTACGAGGTTAGGTTACCTTATCTAAGCTTCCGCCCTACAATCCTGCATGCAGTGTGAAACTTGGCAGTGACTGTAGCTCGTAAGTCAGTTCTACACCTAGTTTTTGTGGCAAGTTCGGTTAAATTATGAAACCTCTGGATTTTACGTTGCAGCCAGCGTTGAGTTGTTGTTCCTCGAGGTAATATTGACCCGTGATGGAAAGATACGGTACGGTTTCCGACTTCAGAAATGCCTTGTATGATTTTCGTAGTGAGTATTTTTTTAATGATAGTTGAATAAATATTAAGAAAATTAAAAATTGAGGCTTAGATTTACTCGTTGTAATAATTTAAGGTTGGTCTGCAGTACTTAATTCTTCTTTTGGGGGAGAGAGAAAAAGTATTTCAATACAATTTTGAGTTTAACCTACCAAAATAAAACCTACCAGAATTATGTTTTAAGCAGCCACTATCAGACTCTGCTAGTTTCTAAAATTCACATATTATTTTTAGGAATTTTGTTTTACATAGTTACCTTATTTTACGATGCAGCGTTAATATTATTGGTTTTAAAAGGTAATACAGTAGTGACTGCCGTCAACTTTCGTGATATGGTGATCGAGGTTGGGTTTCCGACTAAATAAATGCCTGTAGCGTAAAAATTTAGTCGGTTTCAACGCCATTTAAAAATTTCTCCCAAATTGTATTCGCTACTAATCTCAACTACACTTTAAAGTGTAATTTGTCTACAGTGCTATCATTACATGAAACTGTAGTCCTAGTTCTAGTTTACAAATTCCTAACTACTACGTTTTGGGACATAAACAAGATGTTAAAACGATTGTATTAAACTCAAATATTATTTCTAGTTTCTTAACAATGTTATAAGGACTTTTAAATATGATTTCTCTCAATTTTCTTTTACGAAACAAAACCACAACTTAACAGAAATGATTCCAAACAAACAAGACGGGATTGGAGTGTGACAAACTGATTAAAGCTCGGGGAAGAAGAAGGGTTGATCATCTCAGACTGATTACCGTGTCATACACATATCTCAGTTTCCACCCCATATCCCGTGGCTTAGGTGGACAGAGGCTAAGGGTTGTACAGGTCGGGTGATAGCTTAATCCGCTCTGGTGTGTCCAATTTGGCGGGGGAGGGGCCAGTATTTGGCGGGTGGTCACTCCTCAGCACAAATTAGATAAGGGATGACCACTTGCCAAGATATCTTTCGAGGGTGGGTCCCATTAGGACCCCACTGATGGTATATCGGTAAAGAGATTAGGGCTTTTGTAATAGATACTTGTTTGATCGCGATATTTGTCGATCGGGCTACTTGACTTTTGATACGGGTGTGAGGTATTTTGATGAACTGTATAAAAAAGTAATAAAATGCTTCACCATTTAGTTTTAATTTAATTTGGAGTAGTATTTTTCATAACAAGAATAGAAAGGAGTCATTACATATTTGAGATCATGTTTAAAGTGCAAGATTTATCGAGCTCTTTAAACATTATGGTCGATAACATGATTGTAATGTTGAACTTTCACTCGTGTTTTGAACGTTACTTTTCGCTAAACTACAAAGACTTATTATTTTAAAATTGAAATAGATGTTGAAATATTTCTTTATTACACTTATTATGATTTCAAAACTACTGTAATAACATATTTTAGATTGGACCTTCTATTTAATGTTCAAATGTACGTTGACTGGACAATTTTGGTTGTTGCAAGTTAAAACAGTTGATGAAACAATAACAAATAATTGTTTGTGCATGTCAGCAAAATTAAAAAAGTAAACATTATTTTTGCGTAGTAAACAGTGTGATGATGAATTTTCGCAGGTAATAAACATAATATGGTAATTTCTTTCTCTACACTACTGTGAAATTACCTGTTTTCGTAATATGTTTAATACCTGAGAAAATTCATCATTGTATTGTTTACAACACAAAACGAATAATTTCACCACACTATGATGTTTTTAGGCATTTTACAAACGTTTATTGGAGGCCGAACGCTACGTATTGCTGTCTATGCCAGCTGTTATCGTTATTTGGGGACCGAGCAGGCTTTTCAATCCCTAGGGCCGAAAATCAGCAAATACACAATCAGTAGCTATAGCATTGCAATAGACTAGTTTTATTGTCCCCGCTGCCTAGCAAACTATTTATTATTATTTTTTCTGATTCCTCAAATAATTTATTCACATAACCTTAAAATGTTAGTTGTGTTGACTGTAAGTGTGCATTATTATTGTGGCGAATAGAGGTAAATAGTAGGGTAATAGGGTATAGTGTGGTGAAAATAGCATTCGTACCATGGACCGAAATGGTTTTGCAGCTCTCGATCGTTTTTATTTCTCGACTTCGTCTCGAACTTAAAAACTATCTCATCTAGCCGGAAAAACCTCATTTTTGGCCCTGGGTACGAAAAATACTATAACTATCTTTTTATTTTGCCGACATAAACAAATAATTATATGTTATTGTTTCATCAACCATTTCAATTTGCAACAATCAAAACTGTACAATCAATATAACTTCATTTTAACTTTAAAAGAAGGCTTAACCTAAAAATGCTGTGAGTTTATAATGTTCCCAACTGTAATAAAGAAATATCCTATTTTTGTTTGAATTAAGAAAATAAAAGCTCTTTGTAGTGTGGCGAAAAGTAACGTTCAAAACACGTGTGAAAAAGGGTCTATACATATTATCGACCATATTTAAAGTGCTCGATAAATCTCGCACTTAAAACATATGTTCTCAAATATATAATGACTCAATTTCTTCTTGTTAAAAATATATAATTTGAAAGTTGGGCAAATCATTGAAAGTACTTAAATAATCGGTATACAGTTTTTCTATGGTTTTATGTTAAAATTTTTCTATATTTTTCACTATTTATTTCTTTTCTTTGCCGAATAAAATGTGCCAAGTGTCATTTTATTGGATAGTACCGCACCTATCCAGTGCATTTTAACGACAATAGTTATAGCTCAAACTCATGTCATAGTGTACAATGTGTTAAGAGGGGAACTCTATTTATTAATTTATTTTTTTCCGTCACTATACATTGTTCAGTACTTGCCTGTGTGGCGATCTTAATGCACTGACTCCGTTATCGAATTAAGAGTGTATGTGTGATTTCCAGTGATAGCTGCAGTAAAAGATAAAAATAAAAGGTGCATCGCTAACTCTTACTCTGCTTGTCAGTCAAGCCACTTGTAGTGTATTTGGTGAATTGGCCATGCATTAAGACCTACCACAGGACCCCTACAACAGCTGCTCAATCCCCCACAATGAGTACACGCCTTGTATTATGTAGTCTGTCTATATACAATCCTCCCTATGTTTTTTTTTTTTTCAGAACTGTGTCAGGACTGTTTTGAAGCACGCCTCGAAAACGAGCACAAGGAGAAGTTGAACTATGACAGAGCCAAGTTGAACATTCGCCTGGTGCCCTCCACGACGAGTATGGACGATGAGAGTGTCAGGTCGTACGGGTCTGAAGGGTCAAACCACTCCGACGGGGTGAGTATGTCTTAACTTCTCGTATTATCAGGAAAAGTAGAGTAGAGAGAATGTAAACATTCTTATGGATAGTATTTTTAAGTTTTCGTAAAAAAATGTCATAAGCTCAGACTCAGAGACCTGTAAATGTGTGATATGTGTTGTTGTTTGATTAAAATAAACACTACGCCTAAACTGTAACTGTTATAAACTAAGTAAGGTATTGTAGTATGAATTATAGAAGTAATAATAGCGCTACGCATGGATTGTTATGGTCTTAGGGCCGTTCTGTTCTTATTTAAGAAAGAAACCTTTTTTGATTCTAGATTAAAAACGGTTATAATACCCGTGTTTTATCGTATTAATATACAGAATGGGAAGCTTTCTCGGCGTTCAGAATAAGATATGTGAGACCCCGAGCGAAAGACCTAAAGTAACTTGAAGGGAATTGAAAAGGAACAAATCTCGTATTTGAATTGTATTGGCGATTACATCGATTGTTGATGGCATGGTTATTTGGTAATGTCCAAGGAGCAACCCTTTTTTATTTTCCATATTATTGTCAACTGTGTGTACACTTTAACGATGCTACATGTTCGGGGGTTCGGTGCAGTAGTTTGGCGATCACCACGATTTGAAATAGTTGCGTTATTTTGCATTACCCAACCGCCCATCCGATTGCCGCGAAACTTTGGGAATTAAACATTCACTGTGTTGTGTATGTTGGAGTTGATCTAAGTTTCCTCAGCATGTTCTAGTGACGTACAAAATGTTGGTTTCTCCTGTACACCGCCATCCCCGCGTATGTACTACAGCGCTGCACCGCTACACCGCTACACCGCAGGTTACAACGTTACGGCCCCAGCAGTCCACACTAACGACGGGCCGCTCATTATGTTGTTAGCGGGTTCGGTTTGCTCATAAAAGGAGCTACAACTCAATCAGCAAATGTTGTCTGAGTCGTCAGGGCTGCGGGGAAAATTCTACCGGCGAGGTGAAGTGATCGTCAACATGTTGAAATTCAACTTCATGTTAATATTGTTCACGTTTTGGCGAGGTGTCCAATGATGGTTGTAGGTATATCACAGTAGGTAGTAAGTATAGTAATATAACTAAGTTGTAGTGTTCGAGACAGGTGAAATTATTCAGGTATTTGCCTGATTTTTGGCCTTATATTGAGAAAGTAGTGGGCAGAAGAGAGGCCATGCAGTTAAATTCGATTTTCAAATTCGTACCTTTATATTCTTTTTGTCGTATATTATACGAATGTTTTGTTACGAGTAAAAGTAAAATTATCAGCAATAATATGTAAAATCATTTCATTAATTTCATTTCATTTCATTTTTCACCACAGTTCCACACAGTGTCTTTTGGTCATAACTAGAGAACGTAGTACGGTTTCCCTATAGGAAAGTAGCTATTACCGAAGGTCTCATATAGTAAGACCTAGGCCCGGGACCGATTTACTTTTTCTTCATTTTGATGTACCCACAGGCCAAAAAAACCTTCGTTCAATTTTTTTTATTTATGCATATGTGTATATGTATGTGTGTGTCCGTCCAGACGATAACTTGAGTAATTTTTGTCCAATTTTAATAAAATTTGGTTTGAAGTTGTAAAGCGGGATAAACTTGAATGAGTTCCCGAACCAGCATGATCGGACCATGGGAACAGGTTTTAAGGGGGGGGGGGTTTATGGGGTAAAAATGGGGTTTTCTCATATTTTACCCTAAAAACACAAAATTGATAATTTTTTCCCAGACCTTTTTAAAGAGCATAAAAGAACAAATAATTTAGCATATTCAAATGTTTTTTTACGGTGATTAGTTACGGAGAAAATTCAAGAAATTGCCAATTTAAAATGTTTATGGCATTCTTATGGAGAATATTATAAAATGTTGTAGTTGGCTTGTTTATGGATATATTTTGATCAAACTCGGCGGATTTATTTATTTCATACTAAGATATTGATATTTTAATTAAATACACACTTTATTAGTTTCCCTATAGCAGCTAACGTAGGTACTCTTTAAACATAAATGTTAATTTAATAGATTAATTGAAAATCAATCCAGGCAAATGGAAATTCGCTTAGTCGGCAGGTTTGCTGAAGCGGGGGTATTTATTTAACGTTAGAAGCAATATTCTCCAGCGTCCCATATAAAATCCATCGTTTGACGTATTATTTTTGTTTTGCTTACGTTAAAACAGGCTAGCCTCGTAAAACAGTAAAAGTTTTAATATTTTGCAGTGTTAAAATTAAATTGGTTGTACTACTTGTTCCATGACCTTAACAAGATCTCATTACGGTCACTTTGAGATGAATACAAATTTTCTTCAAACCGGGGTCTTGTGGTAACGCAGCAAGCAGCAAGCACACGAGCTCCAGCACAGCCAATGCCGCGAGCTCCGCTAGACAATGGAATTGAGCTCTAAATCATCTGTGAGCCGGCCAAACCGATGGCCCATAATTAAAGGGTTCGCACTGGTTCACAGAAAAATAAATAGCAATAACAAGCAGTGAAGACCCGCGGCAGGTTGTGCAAATACTCAACACTGGTTTTTGTGGTGTTTGGTAAGGGGGGGGGGGGGTAAGAGTAACTACCCCTGTGTGCGCCCTCGTTGGGTGTCATTACGTTTTGTTTAAGAATATTTTTACCACTATTTATAGTTTTATTAATACTAGAGGTCGTCCAGTGTTCGAATACTTGACCAAATATATTTAATGACAGACATCTCTATTAGCACCACACGCTGTAAATAAAACATGTGATTGGTATTTCTTCCATTAGTTGTGACTTTCTGTTTATATTTTGTTGTTATTTCGTCACCAGCATTGCAACCCGTAAGGCCCATGTTATTTTTTTAATTTTAAATTCATATTTTGTGCTTATTTTTGAGCTTATTTTAATTTATAAGAAACATGCTTGCCTATTATTATATAGGATGTGGATCTAAATCTAGATCGTAAATATTTTGAAAACATACAACTATTTTTCTCTCTGTTTTTTTTTTATATATTTTAATTATTTTTGTAAGGGGGCGGTCCAAATCTCAGTTTGCTATCTAGTGGGTTTAAAGTAATGGATTATGTTCAATATATTCCCATTGTAATTTTATAGCTTATACCATGGATCTTTCTGTTATCATGTGTATTTCGGGGAAAGGTGCATTGTCCCTGAAGCGACTCTTGCGATAGTAGCTGAGCGATAGTAGCTCAGCGATAGTAGCTGAGCACTGGTTAGCGTTGTTTCAAATGGGACCATTGTCCTTGACGCGACTGCGACTGGAGCGGCTAGCGGCTGAACACAGCGACTGTAGCGGGTCTGCTCTGAGGGCAGTCAGAGTCGCAGTCGCTGAGCGATTTGTGTTGTGTGTAGACTTGTTTTGCTCGTAATGTCTTCAAAGAAAACAAAACTGTTTTTTACCCATAAAGAAGATATCAGATATGTACGTAATATTAAATCGCTACTATTATAAATTATAAATGAAAATACTTTTTAAAAATGCAACGTTTTTAAACGCACTATAAAGTAAAAAATAATTTATAAATATGTGGGGAGAATAAATACTTGTAAGATTTAAAAAAAAACGTGGGCGCATGCTGATTTACAATTATCTTTACCTATTGAACTATTATTATCTATTGCATGCACCCCACGTTTTTAGTTTTAAATATTTTAAGTATTTCCCTGCACATATTTATAAATTATTTTTACTTTTTAGTGCGTTTAAAAACTTGGCATTTAAAAAAAAAGGATTTTTATTTATAATTTATTTTCTCCTTTTTAGTCTTTAATGTGTAAATATGTTAAATCTATTTTATATGGCCTGTTAATACATACCAAACCCTTATTATCTGAAGTCATATGTTTTATATTTCCTTTGAACTGCTTATTTTATATTTAGAATCTCTCGGGAGCAGAACCTGTACCTCTACCCAAGCTTTTCGAACTGTCGAATTTAAGTATTTACGGCTGACTGCAAAATGTAAACATGGAAAATTTGGAAGCCCATGGGGCTTAGCCCAAGGAAAATATGAAAATTAAATGTTATAGTATTACATTGTCATCCATTTGTGAGCTGTGTTCTCTAGTTTCATTTCTCTAGCTCGTCGGGAAGTTAGTTTAAAATTTATTGCAAAGTTTGTACCGGACAAAAAAGCGAGCTAGTAAAAACGTTTTAAAATTAGGAGGTGTCATGGCACTCATAGCACCAATTCACTCGAAAGTCAGCAAACTAATATACAGAATCGCTCTAGAACAATCGCTTCAGGGACAATGACATGGTTAACTACTATCGCTGAGCTACTATAGCTGAGCTACTATCGCTCAGCTACTATCGCAAGAGTCGCTTCAGGGACAATGCACCTTGACAGTCCTCCAGTACAGAAAATGCCGTCGTCATACACATGTCCTATCTGGTCTCTGATGGGCACCGAACCACTCTTTCCACAGGTGATTTGAGAGAGACTTCATGGCTAAAATCTCGCGCTCTAACCACTAGACCAGTTACACATATACATTTTATTATTCATCTAAATATAAGTATTTAATAGCGAAAAGAAAATGCAATACAGTTTCGATGTGTTCATCAATATATTTCACCAACGTGTTTGAAAATCACTTTTTTATTTAAAATATTAAATTATTTTAGCAACTATTTTTGGGCCGTTAACTGTTAGGATATAACCTTTGACTATAACATATTATCCCTGCAGCTTGTTGCAACTTTTAACTTTAAGCTCGCTCAACGTAAACAAGCTTTAGTTTAAATTATATGTTAGGGTCGCCGGAATTTTATCCCCCTGGGCAAAGCTGACGTCACTATGACGTAGTAACCTGAGTGGCCAAAAGTTTGTTCGCGGCCGGAATTTTACCCCCGCGGATTTGGAAGTCTAATGAAAATAGTCAGAGCGTGATTAATTAGATTAGCGATAAAAACCGGAATTTTACCCCCTGTCCATATAACTAGCGTTTAGACAACTGAAGATGTACGGGCCGGATTTTTACCCCCGGAAT